CGATTCGTCAGCTGCACTCAGCATTTTTGGAGTCTTCTCGTTTGACAACGGGTGTTCCTGCTTTTGCATATAATCTAACTCCAGTACCTTGTTTGTTTTGACAGCTTTTACGGAAAAGCTGATATCCTTGTATATAAATCTCCGGATCCATGATTTATTTTCAAAACCACGTTTCCGTTATAACAACAGCACCAGTTTTCGGTCTGAAACTAATGCTCTGAGTTCATCGTTTTTTGAAAAAAGTCGTTGAGGCTATTTTTAAAATTAATAATATCGAAGAAAGACTGTATATCAAGCAAATGGAAGTTTGAAAGCCAATACATTTCGTGAAAATTGAAATTTCCAGAGATAATCATAGCATTAAAAGATTCCCCAAAGTTTTGCCCCATCTTCAGATAATGGTTTAGGAGGATGGTATATGCACCCAAGAATCGGCTTTAGCCGGGGCGGGAGGGTAATAGATGCGAAGTAGTAATTACCAGAGAATGACCTGGTATCTAGACCAAAATGGGTATGCTTAAAAAGCTCTAATATAAGAGAGACAACCACCGCCACGCTTACTAATGTGATCATGATTGTCTTGTCGTCTACATTAGTAGTCGTCAAAGCGAACTTATGTAATCATTTAATTTCGGAAGATATAAATTAATTATTTTCCGTTTCCTTTTCAAACACGCAATTATTGGAGTTTGAAAAGTGATCTCCTGGCATTTGAGGCAGATTTTTTGATATTCAATCGGGTTCCAAATGTGTTAATAGTATCCTAAACAGAGTCAATTTTGACAGCCGTTTTTTGTCCCTCCTCTGTTCAAACCTCATTGCCAAATGTTGACAACCCTTCTCCGTTTTGCAAACCTGTTGTTGGGCTTCTCGGTCTCTGCTGATGACTGTGGCCGGCCTTTCTGTTTTCGCCAGGTTGTCAGTGGACTCCGTAGTCCACAATATAGCATCTACGGCATTTCAGTGACTATCTCGTGGCCTCTACTGTCTCGTCTTAATTTCGACCCTCTTATTCGCACTGTGCTCCCCTCATCTCACCTGCCTGATAGTTGATCCCCTAGTCAGTCGGATGATGAAGCGGTGGTGAACAGTAGTCCTTGCTGTTTTATAATCTGCCCCATGACAAGGAGCATTTTAAGACCTCATACGTTCTCATAAACAACCACGGTCCTATCTCACTGTATAGTTAAAATCTTATCACTCTTCTTAATTTGCCTATTAATTTTGAAAGAATTTTTAAAGATTTTTTCTCTTACAAATAATTTGAAATTTGGGGCTCGCTGAACTCTGCTTCAAATTTCATCGTAGGAGGTTTTTCACTGATTATACCTTAGTTCACCATATTTTCCAAACGTTGTTGACTATTATCTTTTAAATTATGAAATGATGGTGGGCAGTGAAGATTAACAGTGAGTTTTCATCGGTGCTCAAATGATGTTGCACAGCGGCATCCGCGAGTGCTTTCCTGGTTACCGCAAACGCTGCATGAACGGTGGCCGAAATTTGCCACGACTTTTTTTTGACTTCAGAAGATACATCAAAGGATCCAGAGTTGTCTCACAGTTTGGAATAAATCGGCGGTAATAGTTGATAAAGCCAAGGAAACGGCGGAGCTGTGTTAGAGTTTGGGAAGCTGAGAAAGACAGCACGCTTTGCACTTTCTCTGAAAGTGCTGCGATTCCGTGTTAGATGACGTGGTAACATAGGCAATCGAGAGAAAATACAACAAAATGGCGCTTGTCGACGTTCAGCTGCTAACCATTTCCTGAAAACGACCAAAAACTTGGCGCAAGTGACCCGCGTGTTCCTCGAAATAAGAGCTGGTGACAAGAATGTCCTTAATATACACGAGCATGAGTGCAAGGCCCCGTAAGATGTTGTCAACGAAATGTTGAAATGTTTGGGCTACATTACACAAACTAAAAGGCATGCAAAGAAATGTGAAAAGGCCAAATGGCCACGTGACAACACGTGACAAAATGTCTTCCTCCCTGACCATTATTCGGTGATTAGGCCTGACGAGGTCGATTTTGGAGAAAAATGGTCCTCCCCAACAGCATGAATATGAGGTATCGGGTATCTGTCCGGGACTGCGGCTCTGTTCGGAGCTTGGTACTCACTGCATGGTAGCTAATCATTGGAGAACTTACTGGCTACCATGTGCCGTGGAAAGGCACATGGAAAAGATGAAGGTCGAACTATCTCCATATTCAACATGTGCTAAAATTCTTTCTTCGTGACGGCTAAGTTCAGGGCCTAAAGTTATGGACCGTTGACCGTAAGTGTAAATGGTGGTTCTGTTGGCGGCCCGCAATGAGAACCGCAAGTGCTGTAGGCGGTGACACCTAGGAGGTGGAATAACGCTAACCTCAGCAACAGTAACGATTAAAAAACAGAACCCCATGGACTTATAGGTTAAGTAAAATAGGCCACTTGGTCGTGACTGGCCAGCTGCAGTCGTCGCCATTACTGGCTGGCGAAATTGTTTCCCGAGTATGGTTATTTATCGTAATTACATGGCGGAATGCGCTTACCTGCCTTCGGGCCATACGTACGGTGGTACCAGCACAAGGGTTTAGAGGCCCATCCTCTCGAATGAGACTGGTGGTGGTTTTTTTCCTGCGACCTGCCTGAAGACAATCAAGTACAGTACACATATTGCTGACTTGGGAGTACAACGGCCGAAC